GGCGCCCTCGGGGTCTGACAACTCGCATCAATACCTATGGCGCCTTTATGTCTTTGCCCTTCCACATTCCTCTTCCCTGTAGATTTGAGCGCGTGCTGTTATTTCATCAATCGGCGGGCAGCGAAGGGGGGGAGGTGAGAAGCAGAAGGCCTTCCTTGACGGCGGCGTGACTTCTCAGAAGCCCTCGCGCCTTCTCACAGTTTTTTTTGTGCGACGGGGCAGGCTTGGACCACTCCTGCGAAGGCCAGTGGACCTCCGAACACTCTGAGAAGGCCCGCCCCCTTCTCGTTTCCCCCCTGGGCTTGCCGCCGGCAGTAGGTTTGTGCGCGTGTTGTTCTTTCATCCATTACCGGGCGAAGAACGGTGTAACGTAAACTGTTTCGCTGTCGGGGGCGCCTGTCCCTGGGCGGCTGGAAAGTTTATACCCCTACGGTGCCACCGTAAGGGTATAAACTTTCCGGCCGCCCAGGGACAGGCGCCCCCGACAGCGAAACAGTTTATGTTATACCGTTCTTCGCCCGTTAAATCCAATCCTGCAGCCTCCTTCCGTTTTGCCTCGCGGGGGCCGCGTGCCTGAGCGCCCGACGTGTTGTGTGTCACCCTCCTTGTAGCCTGCAGCTGCTCTCCCGGCAGGCCGGGGCCGCCTGGGCCCTCCCGTGTCTCGGGCAGTGCCAAGGGGATCACCACCTCCTGCTGGGGTGGAGGAGGAGGAGGAGGAAGACAAGGAGGGGGAGGAGGATGAGGAGGAGGGGGGGAGGAAGCCATACGGCCGAGGAGGGGCTGGGACCGTCGCGGCTTCGCTCGTCGTCGGTCGCCCCTTCGGTCGTGGCTCGCGCGCCGCGGAGCCATCAAAGAGAAGATAAAGAGGCGCCGCAGCCGCGGCGGTCACCCCGACCGCCACGCCCAGGACTAAGGAAGAAGCCTGGCACCGCCGCGCCAGGACCCAAAGAGGACAAGATAGGCTGCTGATCAGACTGGCGGCTGCTGCCAGCAGGCTGGAGCAGCACCACAGCGCGCAGCAGCCCCAGCGCCACCAGCAGCACGCCATGACGCAGATCTGGAAGCAGCAGCGCGGCGCCTAGAGGGAAAGGTGGTCAGGAGCAGGGACCACACACCTCGAGGCGCCGCAGCGCGGCCCTGGGAAAAGGTGGACAGGAGCAGGGTCCACAGCCCAGGCGCAGCGCCAGCGCAGCGCAGACTGGACTGGCGACTACGGAGCCATTGGTGGGCGGCCCTGGGAGTGGCAGCAGCATAGTCAGCAGCAGCAGCAGCAGCCACAGACCCACAAGCGCCACCAGCAGCAGCAGCAGCAGCCACAGACCCACAAGCACCAGCAGCAAAGCGATAACGACCAGCACTGGAAGCACAGAGCGCCCTGGAGGAGCGCCTCAGCCAGAAGGAGAAGCGGCAGGCGCAGAAGAAGGGACCAGCTCGACACGCCTGCCGCAGCCCACATCGGCAGCTACCAGTACAGCCCCCAGCAGAAGGCAGTCCTGGACAGCATCACGCCAGTCTCCTTCGCCGTCGCGATGGAGCACGAGAGCTGGTCCGCACCTCCAGATGACGAAGAGATGAGGTTCGTGTGGTACAAGAACAAGTGCCACAGGCTGGGGCGTCTCACCGAGAACATCGCAGGTGCTAGGCTGGCCGGCTTGTGCACAACCAGCCTCGAGCAGGAAGCGGCGATCACCGCCACGAACATCTCCTTCGTCCTGCCCCACAAAGAACGCATGAAGCAGCTCAGGGCCACGCTGGAAAAGCTGGAGGAGGAGCATGCCGAGATGGAGAAGCGGCTCAGCAAGATGCTGGACCAGGAGGCGACGGCAGCCAGAACCATCAGGGTCTACAAAACCCTGATGAGGGAAACCAGAGATCAAATGGCCAAGTCGGCGGGAGTAAAGGACGAATCGTCCGAGGAAGACGGGAGCCATGATCCCACCAGAGGACGCGCGCCACACCCGGCCGCGAGGAGAAGGCGCGACCCTGCGGCAGCTCCAGCGGCACCGGCCATGGCCCAACCAGCCACAGCTCAGCCAGCCCCAGCCCAGCAGCCCCGACCAGTCCCAGCAGCATCAGACGAGATCAAAGATGCCATCAGGAGATTGACCGAGAGGCTTGATTCGCAGCAGAAAAAAGAACAGCAGCAAAGCGACCTACTAGCACAAGCAGAGTTCAAGCACAAAAGCGAACTGAAGGCCTACGAGCAGACCATCGCGCAAAAGATGTACCGCACGACCGAAGCGCAGTTGGCCGAGCAGGAGAAGTGGCACATATGGGAGGTCAACGCTCTCAAGCGGCACCACAACGCCAAGCTAGAGGAGGAGGAAGCAAAAGCATACGAAGCACAAAGAGGCACCCAGAGGACACAGGAGGAAAGGGCCAAAGGGATGCTCGCAGACCTGCAAATGCATATCGAGATGGAAAAGAAGACCTTGCGCGAGGAGATGCACAAGGAAGACCAGAGAAGAGCAGCCATCTACACGCAGCAGGTCCAGAAGGCCAGGCAGGAAGAGCAAGTTGTGAGAGAGATGGCAACCCAAGAGGCCCAGTGGTACAAGATGGCGCAGGAGCACAACGAGAAGGCGATGCAGGAGATGGCGGAGGCGGAGTACCAGGAGAGATGCGCCCGCCACAGCGCTTATAAGGAGGAGGAGCTGCGGATCGCAGTGAACTATCAGCAGATGGCCCACGAGCATCAGG